AGGTTCGATTCTGGTCAAGGGCATGTACCTTGGTTGCAGGCACATCCCCAGTAGGAAGTGTGCAGGAGGCAGCTGATCGATGTTTCTCTCTCATCCACATTTCTAACTCTCTATCCCTCTCCCTACTTCTGTAAAAAATCAATAAAATGTGTTTAAAAAAAAAATACAGAGGCTGAATAAATGGGGCGGGGAAGAATGATACCTAAAGATAAGGGATAGAAAACACCATCTAGGAGACACAGGCTCACCTTCTGCAACTCATCTACTGCAGAAACCAGGAAAGAAAGAATATGTTCTGGCATCTGGGATAGAGTATGAGACCCAGCCTATAGGAAAGGGAAAGCCAAACTTTGAGAACAGGCTGGCGTGTATATACCAAGGATGCCATGAGATGTGAGAATGAAATATTTCAAGGAAGCTAAAAATACCATAGCCGAATAAAAACTTCTTTGGAGTCTTAAAGACCAGAATTGGGATATAGATTATCACACATGTGATGTAGGGAACAAACTTAAGCTCTCCAGGATGGAGACTGAAATGTCCAAAAATAGAAATGATGAGAGACGACTGTGATGCAAAGAGATTCAGCAAAACAATAATAAACAGAAGCAATCATTTTTTTGCTTTTTTGAAAAGGAAACTAAAAAAACTGAAGTTATGCATGGACATATTCTAGAACTAGTTTGGAACTACAATAATAAGAAACAGGTCATGTTAGCATCTGGTCCACCTCACTTCCAACCCCTCCACCCCCCCCCCCAAAAAAAAAGTATAAATGGTCTACTATATTAGTCAGGTTGGAGTCAGTTGTGCTGCAGTAAGAAAATTACTCAAGTCCCAATAATTTAGTACAACAGCTGTGATAGCAGATTGATAGAGGGGTTGTATTTCACATAATCATCCTGGGACCCAATCTGGGAAAGGCACTCTTATAACGTACATAGCTGCATTCACTAGAGAGAAAAAATGGCCCCTTCATCACAGCCTGGGAAGAGAGAAATGGAATTATTAGGCATAGGCTTTTCACTGCTTCCACCGTCACTTTGACTCACATCTCATTTACCATAATAATCACAAGGGTGCAAGAACGTGTAATCTTTGCTATACCCTAGAGGAGAAGCAAACTGGGAATGGTTGCTCACCAGAAGTCTCTAATTCAGTTACCATCATAGGAAGTGATACCAGGCTGGCTGCACTAAATGTTTCAAGACTCTTCCATCCAACCAAGGAGTTAAGAACTAAAATAGAAAATTCATGGTATTAAATGACTGGCATTGAGTAAGGAAACCAAACTATTTAACTATAGCATTAAGTAAATGACTTCGTATATGTGTTTAGAATCTAATGAATATGTCGATAGTAATGTTTGAAAGAATGTTCATGAAATTGAAAAAGAATACTATATAAATTATACGGGTTCAAGTTTTTTTTAACCGTTTGCACACATACAGAGACAATGTCCAAGATGGGAGGCGGGAGGGGGCAGTAAACCAAACTTATAAATATCTCTGAAAAGCAGGATCATGAAAATTTTTTCTCTGTACTTTTCTGTGTTTTCAAAATTTCCAAAGTAAGCCATAATACTTTTATTTAAATAACATTTTCTCAATTAGAAAAGCATTCTAAAACTCAATTCTCATTATTTCTTCCTTACTTTCATAACTGCCTTTTAAATGATTAGCTAAAAAAAAAATTTAACCATTTTATTGTGGTAAAATATATACAACATAAAATTTATCATTTTATTTTTTTAATCCTGTTTTTTCTATTGATTTTTTTTTTAAGAGAGAGAGGGGGTAAGGGAGAGAGAGGAGGGGGAGAGAGAGAAACATCATGTGAGAGAGACACATCGATTCGTCGCCTCCCACATGGGGTCAGGGATGAACCTGCAACCAAGGTACACACCCTTGGCTGGGAATCAAACCCATGACCCTTTGGCACATGGGGTCAATGCTCTAATCACTAAGCAAAACCAGCCAGGGCCTAAAATTTATCCTTATAGCCATTTTTAAGTACAGTTCGGCGCATTAAGAAATTCACATTGTTGTCCAACTGAAATATTTTAATCATAACACTGACAATGATGTACTGTGCATTTCCAATGAGCATATTTTACCAACTCTATCTTCAAAATAAAATATAAAAATTTCTTGTTTTTTTAATAACTGCCATTATTTCACTAAGTGAACTATAGGTGCTACAAAATTATGTGTTGAGAATTGGAATCTTCACTATTCTGTCTCTTCTCACGGTTACAGTACAAAGAGACCACCACTTTAATCAACACCATACTTGAAGTTCAGCCAAGGTCATCGCCAGAAGCATAAGGAGCAAGTTGGTTTCTAGCCCCTGTAACTTTCATCAGACTTTTTTCTGAGCTTCCTAATGTCTCTAGAGCTGTGCTGTCCAAGAAAGTAGCCGCTAGCCACACGTAGCTACTTACACTTAAAATTAAATTTAAAGTTTCTTTTCTTGGTGGCACCAGTGGCATTTCAAGTGCCCCCATATTGGATAATAAAGATCATTTCCATTATCATAAAAGGTTCTATTGGACAGCCCTGCTCTAGAATCCATGTCACTTTTCTTCTCCATTCAAGATAAATAGCTGAATTAATTTCACCTTGTTTTCTGGTGAGTTAAGGAATCTTCCTAAATAATCAGAGAGAACCACTTTAACACTTTTGTTAAAATGACTGCAGATGTAGATTTATTAATCTATTGCTCATGGTTGGAAGAGATGTAATTATAGGGAAACAAAAATTTAAGTAGAAAATAAAACAATGACTATAAGAGTAAATTGTGTTTCTCACTCTACTCACAATAATTCTCACACCAACTGTGTGGATCGTTCCCTCACATTAAACAGTTCTCCAACTCTCTGGACACCAACTGGGTGTCCCTAAAATTTAATTATGACATTAACTGTCCAGAGTGAGCACAGACTCCACAGGTTAAAGGCTCAGTCCCACAACAAGACTGCCCCCCAACTGTAGATGCCGCTTGCAAGTCCCAGGTTGCGATCTGTACTTCTGACCAACCAGCTACAAATCAAGGGTTCCCACAACCCCAGCCCCTTCTTGGGTTCAGTAATTTTCTAGAACAGCACACAGGACTCAGAAAACAATTGCCTTTACAGTTCATTTGAAAGGCTATCATGAAGGAGAACGATAAAGAGCCAGATGAAGAGGTCCTTGGACAGGAGCTCCGTCCCCGAGGAATCAGGGTGCACCACCGTCCTGGCACATGGATGTGTCACCAGCCCAGATTAATTCAGCTATTTATCTTGAATGGAGAAGAAAAATGACATGGATTCTAGAGCAGGGCTGTCCAATAGAATCTTTTATGATAATGGAAATGATCTTTATTAGCCAATACTAGAGGCCCGATGCACAAAAATTTTTGCACTCGGGAGGATCCCTCAGCCCAGCCTGTGCCCTCTCACAGTCTGGGACCCCTCGGGGAATGACCACCTGCTGGCTTAGACCCGCTCCCCAGGGGGTTGGGCCTAAGCTGGCAGTCAGACATCCCTCTGGCAGCCTGGGAGCCCTCAGGGGATGTCCACTTGCCAGCAGGGAGCAGGCCTAGCTGCAGTCGGACAGCCTTAGCGCTGCTGAGGAGGCGGGAGAGGCTCCCACCACCACCACTGTACTGGCAACCGTCAGCCTGGCTTGTGGCTGAGCAGAGCTCCCCCTGTGGGAGCACACTGACCACCAGGGGGCAACTCCTGCATTGAGCATCTCCCCCGTGGTGGTCAGTGTGTGTCATAGTGAACAGTGATTCCCAGTCGCTCTGCTGTAAGGATCAATTTGCATATTACCCTTTTATTATATAGGATAGAGGACTGGTGCATGGGTGGGGGCCGGCTGGTTTGCCCTGAAGGGTGTCCAGGATCAGGGTGGGGGTCCTTCTGGGGCGCCTGGCCAGCCTGGGTGAGGGGCTGAGGGCTGTTTTCAGACTGGCCACAGCCCCTTCAGGGTGTAGGTCCCCGCTAGGGTGCCTGGCCAGTCTGGGTGAGGGGCTGATGGCTGTTTGCAGGCTGGCCACAGCCCTCAGCCATGCCAGCTCCCAGTGGAAGCTGGCTGGAAGCAGGTATCTAGGATTTATTTAGCTTCTATAATTGAAACTTTGTTGCCTTTTGCAGAGGCCACAGCCGGCCAGAGCAGGCGGGAAACTTGGCTTCCTCCATCACCGGGGCAACCAAGCTTCCTGCTTGCTCCAGCTCTGTGGCTGCTGGCCACCGTCTTGGTTGGGTTAATTTGCATATAGTCACTCTGATTGACTGGTGGGTGTGGCTTGGGGGTAGTGAAGGTATGGTCAATTAGCACCTTTGTCTTTTATTAGTGTAGATGGGGGCACTTGAAATGCCACTGTGCCACTGAGAAAAGGAATTTTAAATTTAATTTTAAGTTTAAGTAGCTACATGTGGCTAGCGGCTACTTTTTTGGGCAGCACAGAAGTCAAAAAGTTTGCCCACCCCTGGGTTAGCGGCTACTTTTTTGGGCAGCACAAATCTAGAGACATTAGGAAGCTCAGAAAAAAAGGCTCTCCAGAGCCTTTTGGTTGTGCTTTTGTGGAGGCTTCATATCGTAGGCACGGTTGGTTGATTAAATCATCAGCCCCCAGCCCCTTTCCTCTCCCAGGAGGTCGGAGAATGAAGCTGAAAATTCCAAGCCGCTAATCACAGGGCTGGTTCTGCTGACAACCAGCTTCCCCATGCTTTGGGTTCCTAAAAGTCTACTCATTAACATAAGCTAGATGTGGTTGAAGAGGGCTTGTTATGAATAACAAGAGATGCTGTTTTTACCTTTATCACTCAAGCTGTTTCAGGAGCCAGAGTCAAAAACCAAATGTTATAAAAAGTGATGTCCCTGTTGTTTTTCTCACTTATGAAATTACAAGGGTTTTGGGAGATCTGGTCAGGAGCTAGAGATGAAGACCGAAATAGATATATATTCTTGTTATATTACAGTATCACAGATTGAATCTTGCCAAGTGCCCCAGAAAAAAAAGGGGGCCATGTGACCTCGTAAACCAGTTATTTGCCTCCTAAAACAGGCCTCAAAAGAATCTCTTCTTGAGCAGAGTCCTGTTGATGTTGAAACAAACTGAGTCAGTTATTTTAGTAAGCAATTTTTAATAAGTCTAAAATGGAGGACTAGGTGAAATGGGGGGAAGATGGATGGATGGATGGATGGATGGATGGATGGAAGGATGAAGATAAAGTGTATTTGTCTCAGAATTCCACTGACACCTAGGAGGTTTTCTCTCCAGGCTTCATAAAGCTTATACTTTTACTGTGAAATGAGTGATGCCACCTGCTGAGAATAGAGGCAGGGATGCAATTGGCTCAACGAGAGAACTGAGGGTTTGGAACACCTGAGGCAAACTGTTATAAGTGAGGTGCCCTCCGTGTCCCCACCTGTTACCAGTGGAAGTGGAGTTCTTGGGGTGCCACAGGCGAAAGAATTCCTGAGGCTCCCACAGGAGTTATTGTGGCAAGCTTTATCGATGAGGTAAAATTAAGGGGGTTTTCTTCCAAGGTCCCATCTTCCTCTGTCTCACTATGGAAAAAGTCCAGTCTAGTCTTCAGCAGGGCTTGGATTAAAGCCTCTGCCCAACATTTCCCCTCCATATCAAAGCACAGTTCAGTCCAGCATATGACCAGCTTAGCTTGTCCTCCCAGCTGTCGCCCATGGCCATGTGGTTGCTTAAGGGCACATAGTAGGCTAGCATGAGGGCAAGTGCGGGCCACGTGGCAAGAGAGTGCAAGGGAGTAGGGACATGGCTAGGCAAAGAGAATTCTTTGTCTGGATTTCACTGCACTTGCAGTGCTCCACCCCCAGACAATTATCTTTTTCCCAGGATAGACTGACAGGTAAACACCTTCCCTAAGTCACCCGACTTCATTTCGCATGCATCCAACTCCCCCTTTGTTTGACCCCTCCCCCCAGTGACTTGCACAGAATGGACCAGAGGTTCCCTGGGGAGTATCAAGTTGCAGCTTCCCGGTGAAGCTACCCAGATGACCACGCTTATAATGTCTGGCCACCCCTTTGCTCTCTTTCTGTTGCTAATATTACAAACTAGCTAAGCCTGGCTGGCGTGGCTCAGCGGTTGAGCGTTGACCTATGAACCAGGAGGTCACGGTTGGATTCCTAGTCAGAGCCATGCCCGGGTTGCAGGCTCTCTCCCAGTAGTCAGAGCACATGCCCAGGTTGCAGGCTCTCTCCCTGTAGGGAGCATGCAGGAGGCAGCCTAACAATGATTTTCTCGCTCTCATCATTGATGTTTCTATCGCTCTCTCTCCTCCTGCCTCTCTGAAATCAATAAAAATATATATTCTTTCAAACTAGCTAGTTATGATGATAACAAAATGATAGGAGAAGACGAAGGGCATGTGGACCCAAAAGATTGGACTAACCCACGCTGCTTGTGATATTTTACAGCAGCCAAAACATGACTGGTTAGGAAGGAATTTGATAGGTGCGTTTCAGAGCCACTCATTTACCCACACTTTATTCAAATATGCAAGGAAATACACTTCCTTCATATTTTAGGAGTTTATGGGCTTGAGAGTCAGGCTGGGTGGCATCCAGTCTTTGACTGGTCCCGCCTTCAGGGCGGGGCTTTAGCCCTCTCACTGAATCCCACTGACCTAAATTAAGCCAATGTACTCTAAGGGCCCTTAGCAATATTGAGTCAATCATTTAGGTAACATCCCCAATAGGGGGTGTGCAGGAGGCAACTGAGTGATGTTTCTCTCTCATAGATGTTTCTAACTCTCTATCCCTCTCCCTTCCTCTCTGTAAAAAATCAATAAAATATGTATTTTTTTAAAAAAAAGAAAGAAACAAAGGCTAAGACAAGTAAATTACAACCACAATGATATGAGGACAGAAATTAGTGATAATCAGTCTGAGGAATTGACTCTCTCTGTTTCAGAAATACTAGAAATGGAGAATGCTTCTGAGAGCCTTTTCATCAAGGACCCTCAAGGACGCTTTAACTCCTTGACCACTGTTCTTGGACAAGAAGTGGACCGGTTTAACAATCTGCTGAAATTAATCCACGTACGGGCGCTCACTGCCATCATTGCTGTGGGGTATCAAAGCTGTGTAGAGAATTATATAATAACATGAGTGTGCTTAGAGCCTTCCCTTCCCATCACTTCAACATTTCCATTTGAATATGCTAACAACTCTTCAAACCCAACTTGTTTAAAATTGTTTAAAATTGAATTTACACTTCCCAAACAAGGCCACGTTACCTCTCTAATAATGGCTTGGTGTATATGGGACATTACAAATCCTCTATCTCCTCATTATCCTTACACCCTTAGAATTACCATTGACAGATCAGAAATGTGATCAGAGGCCACTTTAGAGAACTAAAGCATTAGAGATATCGTTCTCGTTCCTGATGTCTAGTTTGCATTGAACAAGATTGCATTTATGAGGACTGTGAAAGCCAGCATTTCTCAAAGTGTGGGTCACAAAACACCTGCAGTAAAATCCACTCTGCCGCAGGTTCAAAATGTAACTCCTGATCCCACTCCAGCCCTGAGAGAGAATTTCTGGAAATTCCTGGGAAGATGGACTTTTTAAAAAGAAAACTCCCCCAAATGATTTCACTGCAACTAAAACTTGAGAGCAACTCTTTGGTCTTTTGCCTTATGCTCAGGAATATGTTCTCGCTACATGGTCTGGACTGTGTCATGATGGCTAAACACCTTCCTGGTTTAAGAGAAACACAAAAGCTATTAGAGAACAAATATAGAACAATAACAGGAAAAGTTTTACCACCAAGCAGGGAACCAAATACCTACCACAGAGTCAAGGCTCAGTGATAAGATTGGGGAGGACGGACGGAGTAAATCTTTTAAAGCCAAAGGCCATCTGTCCCCTCTTAGGAAAACAGTCTCTGAATGTTGCTGGTTGGCTGGCAATGCCTAGCCTCATGGGTCAGGGGTACACATCAGCAGCTGAATATAGGAAGTCCTCACCTTGGGACTATGGCATCGAGGCAAGTATACGCCAGTGTCAGCAGGCCAGGTCCCCAGCTCAGGGCCAATTACCTTCTGTCTTGAATGAATCAGGATACAGATTAAGCTGCTATGATAAAGATCCCCAAATATAGCAACCAAATCAAGATAAAAATTCACTTGTTTCTCAGCTGCCTGCCCAG